CTAAAGGAGCAGCAGAATTGGGTGGGGTAGGGGAAAGGAAAAAAGGGAAAAGAAAAAATATGAGAAAAGGAAAAAAATGGAAACAAAGTCTTTGCAAATTGGGAAGAATGGAGAGGGTGAAGGGAGGTCAAGGAAGGGGAAAAAAAAATAAGAACTAAGATACTCATGTAATGGTACAAGATCTCAATGATGAATATAACTGTATTTTATACCAAAAATGTACCAATAAATTTAATGTGAAAAAAAATTTACAAATGATATTGGCCAGTTTAAAACAAAAAATATAAAATGTTCAATTGCCTTCCTTAATCCAGTATCCTACTTTACAACCATTTTCTTTTACCTGTACATATATTAAACACAAAAGACAAACTCTCCATTTCACCAATTCCCAACTGATAACTCATTTAAAAACTTTTGTGCATAGAGAGAAAAAAAGATTTTTAGTATACCAACAGAAAATCTTATAGTTATCATTTAATTTATAATCCCCAAGGACCTAACCAGTGAAGTGACTTCCAACACTTCATTTGTATTATTCTACATTCATACATAGCAAGTCAACTTCTTTTTAGCAGTTAAAAAGTAACTGGTAACTCTGGAAAATAAGATTAAAAAGGGTAATACCTAATGTTCAGTTCTAAAATAGTCACAAAGCTATAGTGTTATAAACAAAAGAGAAAGTTGTAATTCTCAAAGTTTAATGTTGATCTTTTCAGATTTTTTTTTCAGTTCTAGATATTAAACCCAGAGAGTTCCTTAGTCCCTGCCTTTTGAAAAAAATAATATTTTTAGCCAGGGATTTAGCTCAGTGGTTCTGGCACCTGCCTGGCAAATGCAAGGACCCAAGTTCGATCGCGGGTACCTTTGGTACCTTTGGCGCTTGCGCAGCAGGTGGCGAAACCACTGAACTAAATCCCCGGCCCCCCGAAAAAATAATATTTTTGAAACAAGGTATTTTTAAATTGCTCAGACTGGCTTTGAACTTGAAATCCTATTGTCACCCTCCCATGCAGCTGGGATTACAGATATGCACCAGCATGCCTAGCTCTTCATCTATCTATCTATCTATCTATCCATCCAACCATCTGTATCTCCCCACCCCAAGTATTAGAGATAGAACCTGAGGCCTTGTGCATGCTAGGCAAATAGCTCTAACACCGAGCCACATTCCCAGTCCCCTTTTCACATATTATTTAACCAAAAGCTATTACTTAAATTATGATTTAAGATCAGTTATAAGATAAATACCAAGACAGGTGTGTCGGGGCACTCCTTTAATCCCAGCACTCAGGAGGCTGCAGCAGGAAGATTGTGAGTTTGGGGTCAGCATGGGATACATAGCAAGTTCAAGGCTACCCTGAACAACATAAGACCCTCTCTCAAAAAACAAAATTAAAAAAGGAAGATTATTAACATAACAAAATATATAACATTATTGAAAACAATTCTTTTTTGGGTTGTTAAGATGATGAGTATTTTAAATCTTTATACAATAAATATATCTAAGGCATTAATATGATTTTTCCCTTAAAAACAGAACAATTTGTATTTTATTTAATCTGTGAAATTTAGAAAACTGAAAATTTAGAAAAAATTAAACTTATGTTTTCTGAAATCAAATGAAAATGCTATAGCAAGCCCTGACATATATCATACCATAAGAAAACGTATTACTTGGGTATAAGCAGAAAAGGAAAATAAAATTTTAACATCTAAATTTTGCATATGTGAGAGCTAAAAAAATCATTAAAATCATAAAACTATAAAATCACTAAATATGAGCTCAAAGTCATTGGTAGGGTGCTCCCCTTGCCATCCCTCTATCCAAGGGAAAAATGTGTTGAACTCTCCTTTTTGTAAGCCTCAATGGGAATCTTTGGTTTCTGAAAGGAACGAAATAAACAAAATTGCCATGACTTTGGCTGATAAAAAGGCTTAAAATATTTTGCAAGGCTTAAATATTCAAAACCTAAATGTAGTTTCCAAAACCAAAGAAGCAGCTGAATAAACTTATAACTTCAGCCATCTTAAAAACCAAGATTTCTAGGGTTACAAGAACCTCCCTCTACCTACTTCAATTACAACTTCCGCAGTTCCTCAGCAGAGATAGCTGCTCACACATTTCTCAGCCTAGAAACTGCATTCCATTTCAGGCAGAAAATGGTGACTCTGCCACCATATTAGGAAAGTGTAGGACAGTGACAGTGAACTTTTCAAAGCCAAATGCCCAAACTGCAACCGAAAACCCACTTATTTATCACAAAATGCCAACACTGCAATTAAACCTGAATAACAAGTTTTTAGTTTAGAAAAAGCAACTTGTACATTAACATCTTTTGTCTTGAAAAATAAACAACTTGCATGCCATAGGCAGCCACCACTGCCTAGGATATTCCAGAGGTCTACAGAAACTCGTATTACTAGGATGGAAGAACATACCAGGGTAAAGAAGAGAAAAATGATCCAGAAATGGTAATAAATAGATAATTGTTTGACTCCTTGTCTTCTTACCCCTAAAACATGGAAGAGGTAAGAGAAGGATTCAGACCTACCGGGAAAGGATTCAGACATGCTGGGAAGCTCTTGCATGCTTCATTATGAAAGTCAGAATGATACAGACTTATACATAGTGTCTGTTAAGAAACAAACCGAGTTTCCAAAATTCTGGAAAATATATTTATAGTACCAGTAAATTATCCTGTATGCAAGTCTTATATGCATGTCTTGATTGCATAGAAGATTAGGATTACAGTAAATCCTAATTACACATAGGATTATGTCATTAATTCATTCCTCAAGGAACTTAATCATACATGTCCTTTTGTTAGACAAGAGATTAATTTATGCTAATATCCTGAATCTAACTAAACTATATATTATGTTCTGTCTTCCATATCTGAAGACTTGATGAAGGTGGGGTAGGGGAGGGAAGTAGGGAGGGAGAGAGAGATGGAAAGAGAGAGGGAGAGGCTTCAGAGAGAAAGTCACACAAGTGAATTGGACCACAATGTTAAACTAGGGTTTTGTCCACAGAAAAGCAAACAGTCTGGTGGGGCTGGAGTGTCAAGTACATGGCAACAAAAAGCAGGAGAAAGATTTGAAAAGTTAAATGGATCATGCTAGAAAGTTTGGGTTTTATTCTGGTGCCAATGAGGAGCCACCAGTTTTTATTTTTCAACAGTTATTTTGAAAAATTCTCAAGTCAAAAGACTAGTACAAAAATACTCATCTATATTCACCAGTTGTTAATATTTTGTCACATTTGTTTTAGTTATCTCTCTACATACATATTTATCTGTAATCTTTTTATATTTGCTAAAATATCTGTAAATTAGACATCCTGATACTTTACCATTGAATCATTAATATGAATCACTTAATTCTTCTTAAACCACAATATCATTATCATACTCAAAAGATTTATCATCTGTAAAATCATATTAACTATTATATAGTTCATATTCATATTTGACTCAACATGATGCTCAAAACATTTCATATTTGGAGCATTTTGGAGTTAAAATTTTCAAATTAGTATAGTTAACTGGTAAAGTCTATACAAATACTATTCCAAAATTTAAAAACTATGAAATCTGAAATAGTTTTGGTCCCAAGCATTTGAGATAAGGAATACTCAACCTCCATTAAGAATACTCAATAGCATACTAAACATTTTTTGGGGGGTGGGGGTAAGATATGGTCTTGCTATATAGTTGGCCTTCCACTCACTATGCAGCCAGGGCTGGCCTCAAACTTGTGGCAATCCTCCTGCCTCAGCCTCCTGAGTGCTGGGATTATAGGTGTGTGCCACCACGCCTGAGCAACTATTAAATCACACAGAAGGCAAATCACAAAAAAACTTCATAACTGACTTTTAGCTAAACCCACTAATGAAGTATTATTCTAATTCTGAATCCTAGTTTAGAATTTTTTTGCTTCAATCAGCATTTACCATGTCTTATACAGTAGGAAGTAAAGGAGAATCTACTTTTTCTTGAAGGAAATCAAATCAGTATAAGTAAACTGGAATTAAGTTCCCTAAGAATATTGACTAAAATAAAGGTCTCCCATATTTGAGAAAAATTGGGAGAAAAAGGAGTGTTATGCTTTCTTTATTGTACAGTGGCCTATATATTTAGCATATGAAATAATATTTTTAGAGATAGTTGATTCAATAAGTTTTAAGACTCTTAAAAGAAGCCAGTAACAAAATCATACCTGAGTAAAAATATTATGCGTTTGGCTTAAAATCCACCTAGCATCAGCATCAGGTGCTACTACTAATTTTACAGTCCCAATGTAAACATCAGAACATAAAGTCCAGAAGTGTTGTTCTTGTAAACTGTAAACTCCCTGTAACTCCTGCACCTGAAAAACAAAGGGAAGATATTATCATCAAAATCAAGTGAAGTGTGTAGTATCCACCCCTTCAATTATTATGCAACATATCAGTAAACATGTAATCCACCCTCTGGGTAAAAATGGAGAGGAAAATGTTTGAACTGACAGATACCTATGGAACACTCAGGTGCCAGGTGATACCATGACAAGACACAATTAAAATGAAAATGGAAAATAACAGATTTTTTAAACTATAAATGAAAATCTTATGAATACTATAGGAATCCTATGAATAACACTGAATGTATCAATATATGATTGTACAAAATACTACAACTAAGTAGATCCCAAACGGTCTCATTGAGACCTTCACTGTGATCAGCCTAATCCAAAATTAGTCCAACATATCTCTACTCTGGGAGACTAGACTTAATAGTTCTTTCTAATTCTAGCCTTGCACTTCTTCCATCTATTCTCTAAACAGTAGCCCAAGTGAAAGCCCATTAGTTTGGGTCAGATGCTACAATTCCTCTCATCAAATTCCTCCAATGGCTTCCAGTCTTCCTCTGAGTTCAAACAATGCTTTTACAATGATTTACATGTCACAGGGCCCCTCTTTGTCCTTAATGACCTCATCTCTTTCTATTCTTCCTTTCTGTCTCTTTCATCAGCTCTTCCAGGCTCCTTTCCATTCTTTTAAAAGCCATGCACATTCCTGTCTCAGGGTACTCAATATTCCCTCTGCCTGGAGTATTCTTTCCATATTTCTACATAGTTCATCTTGAGTCTTTACACAAATGTTATCTTCTCAGTAAGCCTTTCTCGTGTCTGGCACATAACATCTGGCTCCATAACACAGGAGGCATGCACTCATTCATATTACAGGTTAAGCATCCCTAATCCAAAAAGTGATGGGTCACAGTCAAAATACAGGTGTACTAAAAATACTATATAAAATTACCTTTAGGCTATGTGTACAAGGTGAAATAAACATTAATGAATTTTACAGTTAAGACTTTGGTCCTACACCTAAGATATATTATGTAGATGTAAATATTACAAAATCTAAAAAAATCCAATCCGAAACACCTCTCCTCCCAGGGATTTTCTGATAAGGGTTACTCAAACTGTTCTTACACTGCTTATTGTCTACTCCAGCAGAATAAGTCAAGGGACTTACTTGAATTTTCAATTTTCAATTCTTATACAGTACCTGACCCAAGTCAGTGCTAAGTAAACAGCAATATTTATTAAATTAATAAGACTGTAATTTTGAAAACCTACACAGAATGGATACATTTCTGGAAATACAGGAAATGTGCTAAGAGAAAGCAAAGAAATGTGAAAGTGGAAGGAACATTAAAAACTGAATTGGTAACCAAACTCTTTTCAAGGTGATATGACTGTCTTAGTTTTTGCAGAAAATAGAAAATAGCTGCTACCTTGTATTGGTAAGAAAAAACCTTGACTCTCATAGTAGATAGACAATAAACTATAAGGTAATTTCTCTTGTGAATTAAATAAGATAAATCCAACAATGTAACTACTTAGTATAAGTCATTAGTCATAACATGTAATGGCTAAGTTGGGTTTATCTTAAGAGGGAAAGAAAGGTTTAACATTAAGAAAATCAAAGTTATTCTTCAGTTGATGAAGTAAAGGAAAAAAATCACAGTCATTAAATGTATTTATTAAATGTACTGTAATGACAACTATTTACAATTATGATTAGAAGGATATCTGTCTAATAGAGGTTACCTAGAAAAAACCTACAGAAAATATTTAAGAACAAAATCTTAGATGGATTCCCTTGAGGATTAGGAAAAAGGTGACGATGTCCAAATCACTGCTACTGTTCAGCATCTCTTTGTAAACCTGGAGAAACTGAATTAAAATCAATACTCAGAAGTTGAAAATAAAGGTCAATATGTAAAGATCTTTATACAAGTACAGAAGTATAAAAAAAGAAAGGACTGGGAGTGTAGCTCAATGCAGACCATGTGCAAGGCCTTGGTTCAATCCCCAACACCAAAGAAAAAAAAGAGAGAAAAGAAAGAAGGGTAAAGAGGGGGGAAGGGATGCAGGAAGGGAGGGAAAGGGGGGAGGGAGAGAAAGAAGCTACTCCATGAATGGGTTATCGTCACTGGAAATCATTAAGAAGCTGCATGACCAACCAGATGTCATAGTGGAGATTCTTGCAACAGGTAGAAAAGTCTGGACCAAATGAACAGAAGATCCTTTTTTAATTCTGAGATTCTCTGATTTTTATGTAATATACTTGGGAAGTTAACTAAAAAAGTTTGATCTTAAATGTGTCAAAAACAGTTGTTTTACCAGAATTTGAGAAATGCAGATGTTATTTTCTAAAAACTCCAAGAAAGTTGATGGAAAATTTAAGACAAATTCTCTTTTCCTTCTCTTAAAATTGAAAAAAAGAGATCAAAGTAGATTTTGTCTTCCTTTTTTAAAACCCTCATAACACAGTGGTTTCTTTTTCATTGTTGTTTTGAGATAGGGTCTTACTGTACAACCCAGGTTGGCCTCAAATTAACGAGTGTCCTGTTTCAGCCTTAGTGCTGGATTACAGGTGTACATCCACCATGTCAAGTGACACAATAATTTCAACTGATCATCCCTCCACATTTTCCTAAGTGGCATTCTCTTGGACTGATCTACTGTTAATGAAATCTATTACATTCTTGTAATTATCCTACAGTATCTACCTTAAGGAATAGTTCCTGTGGGAAGTGAATTTTTAATATCCCCCTCTCTTCCACAATTACAAGACACTCATCCTGCCTTGAAATTTTAGCAAGTTTAATATTGAAAATGGACACTGCTTAATTCTCCCTAAGAGACTACTTTATATTTTTTTCATTTTCCTGTGGCCTTCTAATCTCTTTGCAAGATTACATTGCACTTTTAAATCACACAGAAAATAGAAGCAACAGAGAAATCCCTTATCCTGAACCAACACATCTACCACTCCCCCTCATCTACATCAGCACTTTTGCGTTTGTGTCTATTTGCCATTAATGAATGCTTCCACTGTGTTTTGGGTTCTGTCCTCTCACTTTCTCAAGAACTTCATTCCTTCAATAATGTCCTTCACTACTAAATCATCTGTTTCTTTCTCTCAGTCCATTCCCATTGGTAAAACACAAGTTTTAGCACTGTGCTGTGTAATACAAAAATCACCAGACACTTGTAGCTATTTTAATGAAAGAAAATTAAATCAAAATTTTAAAAATCAGTTACACTAGCCACAGGTGGCTTGTGGTTTCCACACTGGGTATACAGGTTATAAAGCATTTCCATTATTAAGGGGGAAGTTCTGTGAGATAAAAAGCAAACACCTTTTCTCCTGACACTATGTCTATATGCAGACTATCAACTCATCTCTCTGCTCCCTTTAATGATTCTTCTTAAAAGAGTGGTCTGTATCCCCATCTCTACTTCCTCTATTTATTTTCTTCTTGATCCATTTAAACCATGTTCTATTCCCCGACATGACCCTGAAATTCCTCTTATCAAGGTCACTGATGAAGACTTCAGTCTAGGCAAGGCTCACTTCTTGCTCCAATGACACAACTTCCACAGAAACATTCGGCACAGTTGATCATTCCCTCTTCAACTCTGTGATACTACACTATTCCAATTTCCCAACTTGCTCACCAATCACTCTCTTTCCAGCTTTTCCGTTATACTCTAAATCTGAAGATGAAAGCGCAATTAAGACTATGTCCTCTCCCAAGGTAATCTCATGCAAATTTAAGGTCTTATGAGCATTTCAATTTTAACATATCCTGAACAGAACTCGTGATTTGGGAAGATTTTCCATCCTCAAACAGGTACTAACCCAGCCTCAATCTTAACAAGTGGCATTACCATCTACCAAAGTGTGAGGCTACACAATGTTAATATAATCTACTTCCCTTGTAGATATAATCTACCTCCAAAAATATATCCCCAATATATATTTATTTCCCATTTCACTGCTCTGACTATAGTATAACCCACCATGTTTTTTCCACTTAGATGAGAACAGCTTTACACTTTCATTCTCCCTAGAATTTATTTTTTAAAATTAATTTTATCAGTACTCTTTTGATATACACAATGATCACACAGGGAGATATACACAATGATCATCATAGGGAATTGTACCTGTACATAATATATCTTGATTCTTCTTTTTTCCCCATTCCCTTCCCCTCCTTTCAACCCTTCTTCCCCTCCTTATTTACAAAAGCTTTGTTTCCATTTTTTCCTTCTCTTTTTTCCCTTTTCCGTTCATTCCCTCCGTTCTCGTTTCCCTTCCCATTTGAACATTTTCTCCCTATTTCCCAGTATCTATCATCCATTTGGTCTTTATTTATGCTTTCAGTTTCTCACACAAGAGAAACAATGTGATATTTACACGTGTGTCCAATTTATTTTTGAAAAAAATGTTCAACATCACTGGTCATTCAAGAAATGCAAATTAACACTGAGATTCCACCTCACTACAGAAAGAATAGCTATCATCAAGAAATCGACCAGTAACAAATGCTGATAAGGCTGTAGGGGAAAAGGAACCCTTCTCCACTACTTGTGGGAGTGTAAACTGGTATCACCACTATGGAAATTAGTATGGAGATTACTCAAACACTAGAATTAAAGGTTCCATTTGACCCAGTTATTCCCCTTCTTGGTATCTTCCTGAAAGAGTTAAAAGTACCATACCACATCTATATATGCACATCATGTTTACAGCAGAACAATTTATAATAGCTAAATCTTAGAAACAGCCCAGATGCCTATCAACAGACAAATGGATAGAGAAAATGTAGTTTTTATATACAATGGAGTACTACTCTGCCATAAAGACAAACTTCAGACATTTTTAGATAAATGGATGCACTTTGAGACCATACTTTTAAGTAGAATTTGTTTTTTACATGGAGAAAACAATCTTTTAAAAATATAAGAAATATAATTATAAATATAATATATATAAAAATATAAGTAGTGGCACACGCCTGAAATCCCAGCATTCAGGAAGCTGAGGCAGGAAGATTGCTGTGAATTCAAGGCCAGCCTGGGCTCCATAGGGAGACCCTGCCTCTAAAAGCCAAAATATAAATGAGTGAATAAATAAATATTAAATTAAATATAAAAATAAAAATAAAAATAAAAATATAAGATGTGAGTCAGGTGTGGTGGTACATGCCTTTATTCCCAGCACTGGGAGACTGAGAGGCAAGGATTGAGGATCACCATGAGTTCAAGGCCAGCCTATGCTACATAGTGAGTTCAAGACCCAGTTGAACCACATATTGAAACCTGTCTCAAAAAAAAGATATGACCTTCTCACTGCCTTAAAGCTTTCCAAAGCTTCCCACTAAATTAGAGTTAAAGCTGACCCTAATTCTTAGTATGACCATCCCCTGATTTGATGTGAGTCGGCCTCCTCTCCAAATTATCAAGCCACCCTGCCCTTTGTTTATTATGCTTTAGTCACAATGGCCTTTTTATTCTCTAAATACACCAAATGAGTTCCACAGCAGTTTTGCATTAGAGTTTTCCTTGGCCTGGAGCATTCTTCTCCCAGATTTGTACTTGGCTGGCTCCTTGTCATCAAAGTTTCAGTTTCCTTGACTGCAACTTCTTCAGTGAATCTAGGATGGCTATACACGTCTCTCAGACATCTCTCATCTTATTTCTTTTGTAACAGTTATCAATGATACTTTCTTATCAACTTGCTGTTTGGTGTCTGTGTTTCCTCACCAGACTGTAAACTCTGTGAGAATAGAGACACCATCTGTTTCATTTACCATTACATCCCAAATACATTAGACAAGTTTCTGGTGCATAGCGGGAAGTAAAAAATTATATGTTGAATAAAAAATTATTTCATCTGCTGTTTATATGCTATACTTTAAAAGAACTGCTCAATCTCTATATGAGACCAATTTCTGCCATATTTTCTTTACTAAATTCAGTATTTTCCAGTGATTTTTTTCTGGTTTATATAAAGGGTATTCATGGTCAGCATTCAATCCTGGAATACTGAATTACACACACATGCTACCCATATTTATGAAAGCTGAAAACCCTAACAGTTTGGAAACAACATAAAATGCAATGGTTTGGAGGCTTTGAAACTTACCCTCTGATAGCAATGAGGCAAAGTATTTTCCAACATGGGAGGAGTTCTCTGCATTAATATTCCAACAGACTCTTTTAAAAGAGGAATAACACTAAAGAAAAGAAAGACAAATTTATTAAAGGGATATTCTAATAATACCAATCTGCAAGACAGTAATAATGTACTTCTCTATAGTAGAACAGAGTAACTTTTATCAGAATAATATCAGGAAAAAGAATTCACCAGTCATTGCTCCAGATTTTTCATGTGATACGTTATTATCTAAAGTAAAAGGGTGAGGGCCAGGGATGTAGCTCAGTGGCGCCATGCCTGGCTGGCAAGAGCAAGATCCTGAGTTTGATCCTGGGTACCAAAGTAAGAGGGCTAAAGAATATATATTAATGCATAAAACACTAAACATAAAATTGAACATGAATTGATCATCTAAATATCTAAAGACGGCATGATTTCAACATTCCAAGGTAATTATTAACTCCTACCCATCCAATATTTGGATCCATTTAACTAATACTGAATATACAAAAACTTAATCTGTCAATTAGTCCAGTATTTCTCAAACCTGGTTACTTGTCAGTCATATTTTATTATTTGAAAAAATAGAGAAACTTGGCTATTTCTATAGATGTATTAAACTCAACATCTCTGCGATGGGGAACAAAAGCCTGTATGTGTTGTTGATGTGATCAGTCTTCAACCATCATCTGAAACTACTGCTGTAGGCTATTTGGATAATTAAATGTACACAAAGCAATTACAGTAATAGTACAATGGTGAGAGAGTCCCAAATGCAATGACTTTCTAACCTAGCTAGACATAAATTCACCTAGTCTTGCTTTGTTTGCATTTGACATATTCAGTCAGAATCTTATTTTTTTGGTACCAGGGATCGAAGTCAGGACCTTACGCTTTTGAGGCAGGCGCTGGAACCTCTGAGCTAAATGCCCGGCCCTTCGGTCAGAATCTTTGAGGGAAGGTCTGGGCATCTGTTTATAAAACTCTCCACATGATTCCAGCAAGTCAGGGTCATAGCACACTGTTCTGCTGCTTGCAGTAAGCAAAGAAGAAAGGTCAGAAATAACTTCATTATGTTTAATAACTTAAACCAGTGCTCACTTTTAAAGTATCTCAAAATAGCCGAAGGAAAATTCTCTTGATAACTGCTGTAGGAAGTGACACATGTCTCTCAAGGAATGTCTCAAAGAAGAATAGAAGGTGAAGTGTAGCTTAAGGATTAGTGTTATTTCTGACAGATGGGAAAGAGAAGACACTAATGAACACCAAAAGGAACAGAGACAATATTTGTCTTGCTCATTCCCAAAGAGGCCTAAAAAGTGCTGGTCACAAAGAAGGCCCATGGTAACTGTTGACTGACTGGATGAATGAATGAATGAATGAAAGATAAATAGATGTCAGATATTTTAGAATCTGGATTAAAGGAAAGAACACAGGAAAAGGATCTGAGGTCCATTTCTATACTTTAAGTATATAGTGATAAATATATGGATAAGAAAGGGTACAACAGAAACAAAAGCAGGAGAATTAAATAGAGAATGAACTGGTTTTTAGCTGGATATCATGAAAGACAGGGAGAGCTATGTGTAGGACAAACCTAGATTACTTTTTACTAAAAGTATGATGGGATGGCATTATGAAGATGAAAAGCTCAATGTGGACAAGTGTTTCACTAATATTTAAATGAGGATATTTAAGAGTCAAGAATAGTCACCTTTAATTCCCTCTCCCCTTTATGACTCCAAGTTCTAAAAACACTGACAGCTCATGATTTTACATCCTAAATATTTCTTAACTCCTTCATTCTACTATACATGCACAATAATCTCCATGTCTTCCACTTGCATTATTACATCAGCCTCTAAGTATTCCTCAGTTTCTAAGCTTATATCCTCAAGTCCATTTGAAGGCAGTTTCAAAGATGGCTTTCTGCCTCCCTAGTATTCCTCTCCCCTTGACTGTGCGTGTAGGGTAGATAGGTCCTAGTGACTTGAAACTAGTGAGGCAAGTATGACAAAAGTGATGAGATGTCACTTCCAAGATTAGGTTAAAAGACTCTGGCTTCTGACTTACCCTCTTTTGTTTTCATGGGCTCCCTCATGGCTGCCATGTTGTGAGCTGTGCTACAGAGAGGCCCAGGGGTGACACTGAGGGACCCCTCTGGAAAGGAGGTAGACCCTCAGTCCAACAGTCCAGGAAGAACTGAATACTGTCAGCAACCACTGAGGTTGGGAGTGGATTCTCCCTCAAATGAACCTTGGGATGGACTGCAGCCCTCACTGACCACTTGATTGCTGCCTTGTGAGAGACCCTGAGCCAGACTGCCTGGTGAGCCATGCCCAGGGAGAGGTTCCTGAACTGTGTAAACTCAAAGATAACAATGTGTGCTATTTTAGCCACTACATATTGACATTGCTATGTATCCATAGATAACTGAAACAATATACTTTTTGTTTGGTTTTGCAGTGCCAAGGATTGAATTCAGGGCCTCTGCACTGAGCTATATCTCCAACACTTTTTATTTTTTATTCTGAGAGGGTCTTGCTAAATTGCACAGGCTGACCTAGAACTTCTGATTTTCCTTCCTAGGTCTCTCAAATAGCTGGCATTACAGGTTTGACCAACATGCCTGGCTAACAACCATTATTTATACAGCTACTAGCCTAATCTATGAAAGTTTCTTCCCCATTAAAAAAAAAGTGTCAAAACACCCCACTGCCTGGAGATTAAGTATAAACATTTTAACATGATATATTCTTCAATCTGGGTCCCTCTACCTTTACCTCCTATCAATCCTTACTTGACAGTTTAAGCTATCCAAATATAAATACTTGTACTTTCCCTTGTGCTGTTTCTTACTTTCATGCTTTGGCTAATGGTGCAATCTGTTCCTATAATATCCCTAACTTGCTCTTTAGTCTAGCTTCTATTATTTAAAATCTCAAGTATCTTCCCTTTTAGGGTATATTTCCTAATTTCAAGCCGTCCTCCAAACTGCACAAAATGTCCTCTTTGTGTGCCTATAAAAATTTATGATACTTACGGAGTTACTGCATTGCATGAGAATGATCAAGTAGTTTCTTTCTCTACCCACACTGAAAGCTGCTTTACGGGATGGACTGTGTTGTGTCTTCTTTGTGTCTATGTCCCTGACATCTCAGTGTCTGGTATATAATTGTGTATGGAAGAAAATTTATAGATAAGTCCATCAGACATAATTTACAAATTTCAAAGGTATACTTAGGGTCAGGGTAAATACTAAATCTTTTAGATGTACCAAATTATTACTAGCAGCTAGTAAAAAGTGCTAATGAAGATAACAAAGGCAATAAAGTAAATACAATCTCCAGAAAAAAGGGAAAGGTATTTCTAACAGTAGTAAATACCACAATGAAGAAAAATACAAGTGTGAAAAGGCCAATAGATTAAACAATAAAAATAATGTTTAAGGCCTTCTGTTGTACAATCTTAGGAAGAGGAAAAGCCAAGCTTGGAAAAAGTTAGAGAAAAGAAAAATGGGTGGAAAGCACCTGGAGGTAGAGTTAAGGATTTTGACAAGGGAAGAATATTGGTTATTCATTCATCTAAACTGAAGAGCAGTATCTCTTTTGGCCTACTGTGTTATTATCAAATAAGTGAAGACTCCCTGGGATTTAAAACAACAACAACAACAACAACAAAAAATGAAAAACGTGATGGCAGACCAGTAAGATACAATTTGCCCATTATGATATTTTTCCTTTCCTTTCTTCATCCTCATTTCTCAGGAAAAAGAAAGGATTACTCACAGAATGTTTTTGTATACTGAACTTAAATTTTTTATATTTTCCTTCTTTCTTTACTGAAAATGAGGAACAACAATCATTTTCCTTGAATTACTGTTTAAGAATAAAAAATGAGGTTTACCTAAATTTAGTTATTTTGATAATCTCTGATCTTATTCTAAAGAACTGCTAATAATGTCTAGACATCTCAGGTAAAAAAACACATTCAAATGAAAATTATGACACTTGTGTTCTAGTTTTCTCAGTAAATAGCTTTGGGCAAATCACATAATGTTTGAGACTGTCAGGTTTTGTTTTGTTTTTAATGCCATCAGGAAGTGGCTTTATAATTTTGCTGTAGCATAAGGGGAAATAAGTACACAGACCCAGACTCATCTATAACATGAGGAAATGGATTAAATATCCAGGCAATTTCTTCTATTTTAAAGTATTTCGTATTCAATTATAAAAATGTACCCCCCCAAAAAAAACCTTTTAAAAAGCCAGTTTTGGTGGCACAGGCCTATAATCCCAGCACATGGGGAGGCCGAAAGAGGAAGACTGTTGCGAGTTGGAGGCCAGCCTAAACTGCAGAGCAAGACCCTGTCTCAAAAAAAAAAAAGCAGTCAAACTATATGGAATACCAGAATACAGAATATATTTGGAAATAAAAAATACATATAAAATTGTTTTTCTGTACTAAAAAAGGCAATATTTCATCAAAATATACTCGGAAAACCACCAATTTACTCTATCACTAGTTAGGTAATAACACAAATGAAACTTATTAAACAATCAATACAAAGCAAGCAATTACTAAACAGCTACTAAATCCTTATCATCACATTTTCTAGAACCAGATGGATATTTACTCTAGACTTGTAAAGATACAGCATGACATGACTGTAGCCCTCTTGAGTCATAAGTGCCATGATCATGTCCTGCCACCCAGGACCAAAACTGCACTCTGCAATCCCACATCTAGCTACCTCCCACCTCTCTCCCATTAACAGCTGAGGGCTGGTCCTCATATACCAGGTCATGGATGTGAGGCCTAGAGCACCAAAGTAACCTGGCAAGAGAAACAGCTAGTGAGCAAGAGAGCTAGAATAACAGGACCAGTTTTCAAGTCAATAGACAATATGATATCCCTATTATGTGCCGAGCATGTGCCAGTCTCAGGAAATAAAAAAAGTACACAATACTTAGCTTCAAGAGAACTAATAACTTAAAAGTATAAAGATGGCAATGAAAATGAGGCAAGGAACACTGATTTACTGCCCACCTTTCAGAAGAAAGCACAAATAACTTCAAA